CAGTAAACACAGAGAGCGTATTAGACACCTGCAGTAATGATGGTGCTACGGTTGTCAGTACCATCACGAATACCGACACACCCATTATTGATTGGGAACAAAAGAATGTGTTAGTAACAAGAGTTCGTCAAGAAGTTAGTGGTTGCACGTTAATATGTGGTACCAATTACAATACGCCCAGAATCAGATGCCTAGGAGGTTTCTGTGTCATGTTACTTGTTCGATTCAATGTCTTTCAATTAGCGATAATCGATAACCAAACTGCGGTGTGTTGTCATAAACAGTGGTTTGCCAGATTTGTATGAACCAATGGGAAGGCTTTGCGGTTCAAAAAAATATTGTACCAGAATCCAAAGCTATACCAATTAGCAGCTACCATGAGCTGTGATTCTTATGCAGGCTTAGCAACAAAATCTTGTCAGAAGGTCAAAAATCATCTTCAAATACAATGTACTCTTCCAACAGAGCTATCAACCTTCGGTGCTAAATTTGTGTCTGTCCCTGAGATTTGCTATCGTGCACATCATCGTGATAGTGATTTCAATAATAGCAACCTATACATGAAGAAAAAATGTCAAAACAAAACAAGTCACAGTTGTCTGGTAATGCGAAGTATTTTTCGAGTGACGGATTTCGATTAATTCTTAGGAATACGTCAGTCCTTTGATTTGGATCAGCCTGATCACCATGTGGCTGGTAAGTTTATCAAGAAGAACATGACGTTGCGGTGTGAGTTGTGTTTAACGTAGTTAACCGTCAAAAAAAACCTTGTAAAGACCTTCACTCGATTTAACTAACACACTCGGACCGCAATATCATCAATACCGTGTTCTCAATGAAAAGCTTAATAACATATAAGTTTCAAGTAGAACATAAGGTTGACGGAAACTCGGGGACTGCGCCTATCTGATGAGCCCCAAGAAGGGCGAAACCGGTCGTGGGCTGTCGAGGAGTTTCCAGCAACCTTATGAGTAGTGCATTACAAAAATGTGTCGCGATATCTCGAATGTCGTACAGACTAAAATATGAGGTGGCCTGGTGCAGCACATTCAGTTACCTGGAAACATTAAAACCAAGAGATTCAGCTGGGTTCCAGATGAGTCTCTCGAAAAACCAAATTAGTTTGCAAATGAGTGTGTATTCGCTAATTTACAACTTGTCTGGTCCTTCAGTTAGTGACTATTCCTCCAGATCAGAGTCAGACGGTCTAACAGACCAATAGTCGTGGTTTATTGGCTTGCATCACCGGCATAAGTGCTTCGCAGGCATTCGTCACCAACTCATCCCCATGAAACGGTCCAATACATGTTTGCTGTCACCGAATCCTCATTGGAAAAATAGATTCAAAAAGGCGTTTTTATTCGTATTTTATTTACTCGCCACTGGAATGATGTTCTATAACAATGAGTGTATCCCATTTTTCGAACGACATTCGCTGCAGCTAATTTTTGGTAGGCGGAAATTGGATCAAACAAAGATGAAGAGTTCCACCCTAGTTTGGTTTAGTATTTTGCTAAAATCAGATGTTTCCAAATAAAAAAATAAACTATAATTCAGGAGAAACCCAAGTCCCTAAGCTCGCACAGTTCTCCATTCTGGTCAAACTCAACTCTATTTTGTCTGAAAATTCACCATGTATGAACCTTAGTTCAAGATTTATCGTGTCTTCACAAGGTAGGTTCAATTTCTGTTTATCTACTTAGGAGATAGCACGATGGTTAGAGCGTGAATTCGCTAACCGGAAAGTCCGTGGTTCGAATCCGACCTCAGCATCTCGACTTTCCCTGTCTAGGCATGGGAAGCCTGGCAGTATTCCAGCCCTCGTGCTTCCTTCGGGTGGCATGGTACCCAGTCACGGAAAGGAGGCTACAGTTGAACGGTCATATTGTGTCTACTGTTTCCGTGAGATTTCCATATGGTAACCACAGGGAATTTTAAAAAAACTAGTGACTCCGAAATATTCCGAATGATTTCAAGCCCAGTGTAGAGCCGAAATTTTTCCCTAACAGAACTACAGTGATATCTCCTCAGTTATAGTGCGTTTACTTCCAAAGACCACATTCGCTGTTCTGAGTGCACGCTGTACCATCAAATCTTCTACTGTCTTTGATTGTTTCCCCTTCCGTGTTCTTTTCACGCCCATGGTATTTTTAAACGATAGTTTGAATCAATCCATACCCTTTTGAAAGTCATCGATGAAACCTAGATGATTTGTTTGATAGACTACCAGTGACACGTCAAGCAAAGCAGTAAAAGTACTGGAGGTTGCACGGAAAATTCCTGCGTTTCGACTGACAGGACTGGCCCTTTTCAAATTCAAGCAAAGAAATTGGCCACATGCTGATTAAAACTCCTGCCAAATATGTTTGCCGATGGTTGAATACGTGCACTAGTTCGAGTACCCATTAACCAGTCTATTACAGTTACTGTCCTATGCTGAACGCGATAGCTTACCGTACTAAACGGATGCCTTCAGGCGAAAACGATATTCACCAATTGGTTTCATCAGTGATACAAGTGAGGCATTTGATAGCAAATCTGTAAGATACAATTATGAACAGTTGATAGAATTCTTCCCAATAAGATTCAAAAGGATGCTACGTTTTGCAACTTTGGAACAATACTCTCAGGATAGTAGTATTCGGTTGGGATAGTGCACTCAGTACAGTTAAGGTGAATTTCAGAGTCAGATTCAGCGAAGGAGATAAGTCGTCGTCTAGCCAACCGGTAGCTTCTCTAAATGCACAAGTCCTCCCAAGTGATAATTTTGGCAAACCAAAACACTCCCGCTACAGGATAGTCCAAACAACCAATGCTCAGACTGGAAAAAGAATTGCCGGGTGAGTTTCCTCCAAAAAGGTTTTATACAATTACTTAAAATGGTCAAGTCTTCCTATCGCAATTACGTGAGGTTACGGCGCAAAACCTAAACCGGTCCAACGACAGCTGCGGGATACCAGGAGAGCAGTTCGGAAACGTACTAACGGTGCAAAGTCATTGACAGATTTCCATATAGTTACCCAAGGAATGGAACTACGCAAGTCAACAGCTGCTGCTTTTCTGGTTATAAACACCACCAGCATTGCAAGAATCTCATGCTTTCGCTTGGCAAGTAGCAATCTTGGAGGAGGATCAATCAGTCCTAAATTTGGCGGCCAGTTGAACAGAAGTGGGTTGAGTGTGATGCTGTCTCTCTATACTTTCACCGCTCCCGTCATAGGCATTTTAGCTGTCAGAACGCCGCATGGTTGGACGTACTAGCAGAGTATAACCTTCACATCATTAGTGGGTAAAGCACTCTCTAACCTGTGTTCAAGGGACATGCAATCGAAGGTGGATGTATATTTGAGCTGAGCACTTACCCCGGTCCAGGCGGTGTGCAATGCGTCTATGATGGATGATTTTGCGGCGAGGGTTGGATTTACCAGTAGTTTTTATGGCTTCACATAGTCCAGTTGTCGAAAGTTACACTCATTGCTCAGCTCCAATAATGGATGTATTGGCTGTTCATTCAGTCAGTAACATCCAACAAATCAAGATTGGGGGGAAATTCCCCGTGTATTGTTAAACCAAACACGCCTGGCTTAAGGGTTTAGTCGGAAAAATGGCCAACGGGCCGAATTCTAGCGAAATACACTCATTTATAAACCGATTGTGTTAACGGGAGACTCGGCTGAATCCTTACTGAATTACTTGTTTAATGGTGTTCTTCAACTAAATGCATTGTACAAAGACTGTCATTTGGTACGGCATTCGAGAAATTGCAGTACATTTTCTCGAACGAACACCACTCATAAGGTTGCTGAAAATTATTTGACGGAACCTGACCGGTGTCGCTGCACTTGGATTTCATCAGATAGGTGCAGTTACTGAGTTTCCGCCAAATTTATGCCACCGTCGAACCCAAGTTGCACACAATTCGCAAAATACACCGAAGGAACCAATCTGGTCTTAACTGGACACTCAAGTGAATCTCATTCGATTAATATTACAAACGAGAGATTGTGTTAGGATTAAGTCAAATTTCGCGATCTTGTGAGTAGTGTTCTTTAAAACCAACATATTTCCGTATTCCTAAACATGTACAGAAATTTGTTCTCTGGATATTATCCCCAATATTAGCTGAATGAAAAAGCACTGTTCCACAGATGCGGCCTGAGTGGGGATTTTTTAATTTCGAGCCCAAAACTGCAGAAATCTCCACCAGACAAAGTCTTTGACTTCGATGAGTACTGCTTCTTGAAGGGAAGAGTACTGCGTTTCCCGTTCGTTTGTTGTCCTGGAGTTCATTGAGGAATGACGCTACCAGGAATCTCGCTGATGCGCTCAGAGTAAGCATTATTAAGTATAATAGCTTCAGGGAACGCTTTCAGCTCTTTCGGGGGGTCAATAAAAGAAGACATTAAGCGCCTACACGCTATTGACGCAAAAATCGGAAAATGTATGTACTGCCCGCTCCAACAGGCTAACGAACTCATCACAACACCTACTCCCCCAAAAAAAACTCGACCACAAAAACATTTTTAGGATTCGACCACATCTCATCAGTAACACCAAGTAAAGTGCTTAGGTTTGTAATCATCGGGTTCTATGTGAGCACTAATAAGTTAGATAAACAACACGAATATGCACCAGTGTTTAGAGTCTTCGAATTAATAGTCACTTAATTCAAAGCATGTATTTCGGAAACCTCAACTGCCTGAGACGGGACGGTGGACGCGTGGTTCTGTAGTTAGAAGCCGATCTCATGTGCACTTGCCTGATGAGTTACAGATAGCTGGATGAATGCACTTCATTAGGAACAGTTGGTACTAGAATTGGTTTTAATTTTAAGGACTAGTTTTTTGGAAATACGATCCCCTCTAGTGCACTTTAGTCTACTCAAGGTATCTAGACGGTGTTCCACCCATACATCTTTGAACCGGGACATCTTAAAAACAACTAACGGAAAATCACAAGATACGATTTTTATTATATATGTACAAAATAAAATATAAATACTAGCACTTGTTTTCAACATCTGGTAACTGGAAACCTCGAGCAATCAGATAAATTTCCGAAGAATCGGATCTGCTGGCAGCAGGCTTGAAAAATCGTACCGCTGGCCCAGGATCTTCCTGGCGCATCTGTTTAGTTTGCGGGTAGCGTTTATGATTCGGAGGTTTTACTGCGCTATTCCAAGGTCCACGGTAGAATCGAGATACAATTGACATAAATTCTTCAGCCTCGGGTGATTGCCACAATTTCACGACAAGGGACGCACCCGGAGCTGAAGTACGCACCGCCAGCTACAAAATTGAAGAGACGTACACAAGGCAGGTAAATAGTTGAAATGCATGAGGGCTTCACGACGCGTCATCATTGATGAGGCTCTCAAATGTATGCGGCAAGCTGTGTCACATACGACGGAACAAACGCGTAAGTAATGATTACGGACTCAAAAGAGTGAGTTACTGAAGGTTGAAAATTTCGGACAAACAAAATATGCGTTGGACGGGAGAGGGTAGTCGAGGGTTAGTCGTGGTCTACACCGACATAACCCCAAAGAAGTGAAAACAATCGGTTACCCTGATAAGCCGAATGCCTGTCAGGAAAAATCATTTTTCCTCAATGTCTTCAGGTGGACCAACCAAAGAACGATCAATGCATCAAAGAAATAACGAACCTGCAGAACACTGCTTGCTAGATTCATCATTGCTGGTACGTCTAGCTCTCGCAAACCGGTAACGTTAGGTGCCATGTCGCTGAGCACGACGTTCACACGGGAAAGTGAGCCTTCCGCAAATGTGGTTGAACCTAGTCGCTTTAAGTAATCCCGTACAGTTTGGTTAACGAGCTGAACACATTTGGCTGAATCGCGGACATCAACTTTGCAGAAACGAGAAACCCCAGGAAGTGGTGCAAAATCCAATAGATCAAAAGCGATAACAAGGCCCGAACTGGATCCAGTACTAGATCCCCCTGGAGATGGCGATACAAAAGAGGTGGCGACTTGACTCCAAGAACCAGGCGCCGCTCCGCAGTCGACCACGATATCTCCCGGTGAAATCAGGCTCCCAGAAAGTTTTTCCTGAAGTTGGAGGAGTTTAAACGCACTGCGACAACGGAAGCTTTCGATACGCGCGAGTTTGACGTAGGGGTCGGAGAGCTGACGAGCTAACCATTTCTGGAAACCAGAAAGAGTGGAAAATCGACATTACTAGTTGGCGACTGAGTCCAGTCTACCCGAAAGTGAAAACAAGCTGGTTACTGGCACTAATCAAAGTGAACCGGAAAGGGGCAAGTTGGGAAGCAGAGGGTAGATCAATAAAACCTCGTTTAAGTGTGGCCTGACATTTAACCAGATTTCTGCTCCCAAAATGTCCACATTGCTGTCGAATGAGAACGCTTGTAAGGCTAAAAGCAGTCCATGTGCAAAAAACCAACCAGTAGTCTGAACAGATCACTTGAAGTAACTGACCAAGAGTATTCTCATACAATAGGTCGGCTGCTTCAAGGGCGGCTTGGAAATCGGAGTGTTTCAATGGACACATAAAAAGTCGCCTATTCTGAAGGTGATCTCTCCAAGACAGAGCATTTATTGTAGGATGAGAAATATGAAAATGAGCTGACTTCACTTCACTAATTACCAACGCCTCCAGCGAGTGATACCCCACATGTGATAAGTCTGCCACTATGAGGCAGACACTGGAACAGTATGAATATGAGGATTTTGTCATGCAAATAAAGTGAGGTGTGAAGCTAACGATAAAAGAGGCAAATATTCACAAACCGTCCTCGCTATTCCGTGCGACAGATGTATGCTTCGAGGAAGAAGCCGAACGAATGGGCGAGTTGGAGTTCATTTGAGTGATATTATTTAACCCCTACGCGGAAAACTGTCAGCCACATACGCTTCAGAGGAGGGAGTAAGCTTTTCCTACTATGTATTAGTATAATTCATAGCCAGCATCCTAATCACATATATATATATATATATATATCATAAGGGCTGCGATTTCGTTCCAAGAATTTTCAGTATAATTTAAACATCTTTGTTTATTCATTTGTTTCTCCCATTGCATCCGGCAGTGCATTACCCTTCGCGGCCATCAGATTTGCAAACAAACTGCCCTAGAATAGTTCTACTGAGTTGTGCCACCATTTTCTGACTAATCCTTCGCCCAACAATCCGATTCTGTTTATCAACGGCAGGCATTGCAAGCCATGAATACCGTACCGAACGAAATTAGTTTTTCGGAAGACCAAAAACCAGCTTGTTTCGCGATCGACTCAAAAGGTTATTGGGAAGGCCAGGGAGCTGAATTCGCCGACAGGAGTGATACAACAGCAATCGTGTCACGTGCACGGTTGTATGCGAACACGCCTTAGCGGATTATTTTCAGTGGACACAAGGCATCGCCGATATCGTGATTTGGGTACAATCCGAAAAACGTTGTGACACAACAGCTGATGAGTGTTTGCTCGCTGTCTGGTGTTGGAAAATGGATGCTAGTGTAGGAATTGCTGCCGCGCCAAACATATTGGGATTCATTTGAAATATGGGACCTCAATGAATGAAAATATATCACGCTGTAAAAACATCAAAACTGGTCAAAATGCCACATAACAGCTGAGTGGTTTTCGGAAAAGGTGGACGTTCATGACATCTGGTGAGAGTTGCATGGGGTGAAGTACCCGAAAATAGAAAATAAAAGTCTAAATGTTAACAGAAACTAGGTCCTTTTTGTTGACGTTCAGGTTCGGGTGCCAGTTCAGCTGAGAACCAGGAAGTTTAGTTTGTTACGGACATATTACTGTCCAAATATCCAGTTTGGTAGCAGGCAGACATAATCGGAAAGCCTTACTGTTTCTTCATCAGCCTCAAAAGCTCACGACAATATTGAAGTGCGCGATGTAGAATGTGGGTCTGAAGCAAAAATTAGCGCAATCGGAAAGTCCAAAACCCATTGCTTTCTTCCTTAATCATTCAGTTTCCTAATTAGTGGGCGGTCACCATCAGAACCGCAGCTACACGCTGTAGTGACGCTAAAAGATCGCCTGTGTTAAGGTTATTAGAGTTAACGATGACGACTTCTACGGTATGGAAGTACGTCCGAGGTGGCTAATAAGCCGGATATGTAGTGAACTTTCCGTGGACCTTCTGAAACAGGTAGACATGAGGCGCTTCATTAACAACGATAACCAATCAGGCTGATGAGGACGCACTCCCCTTACCTCAGAAGTCCCAACAAGAAAAAGCATTGGATTGCTAAATGCGAGGGGCATTTAGAATTTTCTTAAACCCCATGAAATGTCTCAAAGGGTTATTTATAAGTAGTAAAAGTGTGTATATTCAAGTTGCCTCAGACGCAGCACTACAATCCTCGTGCAGATGTACATGCTAGCTAAACGTAGTGTTCATAATCAGTTGAACGAAAAGCTACACGTGGTGTACTTATACTATACTTACACCGGGCTTATCTGGCGTCATCCCTGAGGCCCCGTACACGGTAAACAAGGTATCCACCTATGTCTTATGACTGCAACCTATTACACTTCTGACAATTATGCTTTTACATAACGGGCGTGAAGGCAGGTTTTGGCAAATGGCAACCAAATCGGGATCAGTATGAAGCAGGACTGAAGATGAAATAAGGAGCGACAACGGAAAAAATAACTACTGCACCCTTCTACACCTTTTTCAGCGCTACAAAAAACAAATAAGCAGTACATACTGGCAGCAATCTGAGGTGTGTGATGACAAATTAACGATGAGATGGACAACTTCAACGCCCTAGACTTCGCAACATACGAAAATTCGCTGTGCCTTACCTTCGAATCAGCTGATCCATTTGTAACACCAAAGGTATATAGACTCGCGCGAGTGGGTACAATACTCACAAAAGTCAGCCAACCTCGAAAGCCGATGATAAAAGGTCGGCGAAATTGGTGGACCTGTAAAAAATGAAATTAAAGGATGGAAAGGGAACCAAATTCTATGCATAAAACCAAAGATGGCTCTGGAACGTGCACACTAGTGACAAGCGACCACTAATGGCGTTACCAGTCGTTCCACCTATGGCCGGTTCGACCAAGTAGTGTTTTACTGACATCCTACAATCCCGACAGATACAACAACATTACTGGCAAGGGGACGCATGTTAAATCCACAGCTGGTGAACCCCCAAAATGTGAGTTCGATATTTGAGCTGAAAGGCTACGCACAGAGATCACCAAATATATCAGGTTATTATATTCTAACGCCTTCAGTGCCCACTGTTGCTGTCTCTTCGAGTGGTAGCGAAACGTTTGTAAACCAACTGCCAACTTCGGCAAACGATTTTATCAATCCAATGATAAAAAATCAATTTGTTGCTGAACTCAGCGTACGAAATGCATTCAAAGTTATCCACCTTGCCTATTTTTCCGCTCTTTCAAAGCATACTGAGCATAGGTGTTGTCTGTCGTCAACTTCAATTCGGTGGATAGAGAATCCTAAGCGTGTGCTGAATGGGTGTGAAATATTTGAAACCAGTCCAAATTCAGTACCAACATCAACACACTTCACGGCATACAAAGTCCTTTATCAACGCGCTTTTTTTCAGCCTCCTCAATAATGTTGACAAAGTTTACAGCACACAAACCAATCCTTCCCTCACTCATTCACGGTCCGAGAGAACCTACTCCAGCAGCATAAGCCCCAAGTATTATGAAGTGGATTTGTGTTCAGGACAGTCTGATGGCCACGCGCAGGGGAGGACAGTGATCGCGTCCATTACGCATTGTCTAACTTGATGTTCACAAACAAAGAAAGATATAACCCTTAACATTCTTGCTGCATAAATAGACCGAGATTTTTCAGTCTGGTTTAGCCTTATAAACCCTACCTACAAAAGAGATGGAACCCTAGGAAAACATCCCCCGTTGTGATTTCGAGTAGTTGTACAGTTCTCCTCTTTCCTATACCATATCAGTAAAAAACGAAGTCAGTCTGGATTGCACTTACGTCATCACTGAAAATCAAATGTTTCGGCTTCGAATTCCGCAGGACATGAACTTTTACTGACTTCACTCAGCTTTCTGTGTAGTCAAGTCATATTCAGGTCGCACTTCTAATGAAAATGAATTCGGATCAATCGGTGAAAACTATTGATTCTCACATGAAACCTGGTTGCTGACAGCTCCACCGTACCATGCAGTTTTCAGCACCTCTCTGTTTTTCTGGTACTTGCTACCCAGAGATTGGGCGGGAAATCGTCCACCATGAATTCCGACCAAACCAACCAGGTTTCAATGAATCTGTCGATTACTCATTGCTTCAGTAAATCAACTGCTGAACGGTTACCTTGCTCACATCGAGGATACAACTCACCAGTGGATCAGTTAGTGACTGGATTGATGAAATGTCGCTGTGCTTCACACTCTCTTCACAAGTAACACGATCTTTTGGGAATTTCGTGAGTGACAAATAAAAAACCACGAATTCAGTGAGTGACTGACTTGACTAATAAATGTTCTTACCTGAACCAAGACGGAGGAAGATAAGAAAAAACGGGCGGCTTTGATAAAATTCAGTACACCACACATCTCAAGGTGTGCTATGTAATACAGGTGTATTTCTTAAGAAAAACCATTGACAACAGTGTTTGCACGTTCTTTTCATCCTTTGCTGATGCCACTACTACCATATAGTGCTCAACTCGTGTCCACTTTCGGATTGCCGATGGTTTGTTAAAGTTATCAGACTCTGTAAAATTCAGCTTCCTGGCTTAGACTAAAAACCTTCTGGGTATTTTTTACTCACACAGCTTTTTGACGACGAAACTGGCGTCCCTATCGGCGAGTCATATCAGTAGTGATCATGTCTCACAGACCAGAAATCAGTCACCGATGTTCAACCAAACAGCTAGAAGCAATAAGGATCATTCCGCCGGCACGTTTCTCCCCGTTGTGCTGTGGAGATCTTTCGTGATTGGCAATTAGTTGAAATATTGATAGCTCGGGTGAGTTTTTTGGTGTTTGGTGTCTAGCATCAATTAGTACATCCGTTTCGCAAATACGAGAAACTTAACGAGCAGAGCTATCTGAAACTGGTCGACTGTGGTGTCAACGGACAGTAACGAATATCAACACAACTACAGTGCGTGTTGCACACTCTAACTTCGGTCTTTAAGGAAGAAAACTCCATTGGAAGGCATTCTCTCACTTGTGTCCCAAACTACACTTTTGCCCAACGAAAAAACTCCCTTGTTTCAAAAATGAACCTAAGGTGCAAAACAGCTGCTTAGGATCAAAAATGTATTTCAAAAATAACAGACAGTTCGCTTGGAAAAGGATATGAAAACGCATCAGACAGGGTGTGGAAATGAATGGTCTGGTCCGCCTTTGGCACGGCTGAGTAATGGCGAAAAACTTGATGCACAGAAGTTCAGTTGCGCAACGCTGTATCTGAACGAAGGGATCAGTAATGAAAGTGCAAGCAAATACACAGGCAGTGCGGGTAAAGCAGGCGTCTCCGATATCCAATACAAATCTTCACCTAACCGTGAACTGGGACTGGTCCACGTTCGGGAACTTGGTGGTGGCCAGACCCAAATGCCACGATGCCGTGAGTCCCGGACAATATGGCTCCAGTAGGCTACGTTTACAACCCACAGGAAACCAATGGCTCCGAAGAGTAGAGATCCATCCTTGGGCGAATATATCAGCGGAAAACATAGCAAAACAGTGTGCAGCATCAAAGGAAAACCTAACCAATGGAGGAATGGACGACCTGGAAGTTGTAATGCCCCCTGTGAAGGTAAAAGGTAACGTCTTAAAGTACTTCATTACACCTGGCAATAACAGTTGTTTCTACCTTAGTTTCGCTTAACTAATTTTTCCTAGAGGTGCAATAACAATACAAAGAAGTTACGTTGAACCAAACTGAAACTGAGAATCGCCACACAGCAGAAGACAAGTCGGAAGTCTCACGTTTCTCGGATTCTCAAAGCTGGCACACGTTCCATCACACGCACAAACGTGCTGACCGAATCACATCTCAAGCCCGTTGTATTCTGTGGATTCACACCAAAAGGAGGCCATAAGCTTAACCAGACCTAAGCAGAGTTGCTGCATTAGAAACTAGGTCATTCTCCCCGGTTCCATCACAAATAAGCTACATTTTATCTTCGATTAATTGGACCTGCTCGACAGAAGATCACACGAATATGTAGTACCCGAAATCGATGTGTCTTTCACGGTTGTTCGCAATTCGGCGATGACAGACATGGTGCACTTCTTTATCTAAGGATGTGACACTGAAATGTGCACTTGGCACACGTTGGTGCCAAATCCGGTCACTTCAGTCGATTATAGTCCTGGTGGAGTGGTGTTGAAATTGTCAGTCCAATATATTAACGATCAGTTTGAGGCATTAGTCGATACGGTATGCAGCACAAGCGAGAACGAGTATCAAAAGTCGTTGATCTGTGAGAACCAGAGAAACAATTACATAAACGTTTAAAAAATTACGGTGAACCGACGGTTATGTCCATACCAGTGGCCGAATAACCTATGTGCCCTATTGTGTCGAACACTGTACGTCCAGTGGCAATTTTACTATAGTTGATTCAAATACTTAAATCAGTTAAAACGGTCCGCAGTAATAAACGAATCAGCGATGGAACAAGGATTTGACTAACGCAATCTCACCACGGAACCAGTTAAGTACTACGCGTAGTCACCGCTGTACGCGTCGAAAGTGAACTTTATGACGACATGTTGTCCAAACTACTTGATGTTGGGAAAATGGCACGCATCGGATGTCAAGTCAACGGGTTCTACAATGTATAGGACAATATAATCCACGTGTAAATCATGCCCACGAAAAATACAAGAACCTTCAAATGCGACCTACGGTTGAGATTTCAGCCGGTGAATGACGTCAGTCAATAAGCGGAATTCGAGAACTGGTGTACACGTGTCTCATCCAACTTGAAAAGAATATATTTCCACTACCCTGTGACCACGCACTTCCTATCACGCGAGTTGGTGCTCACTGGCTCCCGAAATAACGGAATTCTCGGACGAGACGCGTGTGCAACTCCCAGGGTTTGTTGCACTAATAGGCCGATAGTTGAGATTTGGAGGTTTCAACAGAAACTTCATCCTGCAAATGGAACCATTAATTCATCAGTCCGGAGATCTTACGCCATTATCGTAATCCAAAATCACCAATGTGCCGTACTGCGCGCGTCCAACAAGAGCCCCTCCTCGAATAGATGACCAAGCGGCAAACGTCTGAAATGACGGCATCCAAGAGCAGCGTTGCGAGCACACCCTGAGGTAGCCACAAAAGAGTTCACCTCATTACACGGAACCCGTAGTGAGAGGGCTTCTCGGAAACCGACCGTGATAGTGGATGTCACATGAACGATGCAATGACCGCATGCCTACTTGAGAAACCTGCAGAAAGCCCGGACATCTAGTTCACTGTGTTGGTTGGTCAACTGATGAAACAAGTAACATGATCAATGCTTCTCTGGGTGTCGCAGAGTAAAACCAAACTTAACTGGTGACACTAAAAAAACGGAGGCAAGTACTATGACAGCGTTGAACTGTCAAAATGAGCAGTTTGTATCCGTCACTTAGCAACCGAACACACAGTGGTGCAGTATGAAGAGTGCTTATGAAATGGGAATATGTTCGTCAGATGAGGTCCCGCCAGTAACAGAAAAGTAGTCCGGGGATTTGTAGCACGATACAAATCCGCTGGTAATCTAGACAACACAAGCAATGAATTCACACAAATGAAACGTTTTGCATGTAGAGCCTCCAGTTTGAAAGCTGGCATATTTTCTGTGCTGGCTTTTAGATCCCAGAGACGTATTTTCCACTCTGTTTACCGACAGGCCACAGCACGGGCCAGACCCAAACCACGTCATCACACAGCTTTCCACCTTAAGCACAAGGCTAAGTTGATTGTGGGGACGAATATCTTAGAACCAAAACTATTGAATCCTTTTCTTCTTTTTCGATAAGATGACCGGTGGGTACTGCTGCACCTACAACACCTACGGTAGAAATAAGGTGAAAATGAGTTCAACAAATGCTGTATAGCTATTACTAATCGTCGAAATTCAGCACTACCGTGATTTCAATTGTGTAAAACACTAACTAAACTGCATTGTGGTGGTCCGATTTGAAGGATCTATCGGGTAAGAAACATTACTGAAGTGGTTCATAACTATTCCATAGCGTTGCAGTCAGTAGCCTGAACACATCCTCTGAGTTTACGATCGATGATAGTTTGGTACCTCATAATACATAAATTGCTGTCCAAAATGTGTGAAGGGCGCCCTAAAGAGCGTGTAAAGATCGAAAATTTTCAGACGTTTCGTAATCCATTCTAATTCTGTGTACTTTGGAACTGGATTTTCATTCCCCATGTAGTAGAAAGTGACTTAATTGAGTTTTTACTCAGGTAGAACCATGAGGGTCTAGATTAATGCACATCAACACGCACACCTCCACAATCTTATGTACTAGAAACTCCTTTCAAATTTGTCTCAGGGTACAGTGATCCCACAAACTCTCGTATGTCATCGCCATTAAGGGTGTTTACGTGATTGCGGTGGGCGTTGGCGGGATTTCCACAGTTGATATATCGGATTTGCGGGACACTAGTACGTCCATGTTGTGTAAGTCGCGAGTGGTCGGTGGGTAGGTCGAGATAAGTCCGCTTCAGTTTCCAACAAATGAAATTATGCCCTTGCTGCGCCTCTACCACCTGTTTACCCATGATAAACGAACTAGTTCGTCTTGGACCTTCATCGACAAATATAATTGCATGGTATCATGCATGAAATGTGGTATTACACTGAAAGGTAAAAAGACATTTGACAGACGACACTGAAACCCCACAGCTTAAGGCGGTGCTAGTGCGTCTTCTAATGTCACCATGCTTGAGCTGGTTGATGACTACCAGCACACTTCTGTGGGTTTATCCATTGACACGGTAGACTGCCACCGACATAGACATGTCGGTGAATTAATCACAAATTACTCACCATATCTCAGTAGCTGGACGGATGAATGAATGTGGGTGTACACTGTTGCATAATGATACCGACTATTCCCGTTTTTTCTACTCCCAGATAGGAACAGGCTTTTTGAACATGATAAGCTGTCACAGTGACGGGTTGACTCATTATTTGTTCGCTACCGAGGTTTTTCAAATGCACCTAGTCAAACAGCACACACTCCATCGCCGTTCCTGGGCTGAGGACTTTCGCGAAAATCCAGCACCGGAGTGATGCGTCCGAAATGTTTGTTCCTTCATTGCACGGTGCTTCCCGTTCATACGTCTCCAGAAAAACAAGAGTAAGCCCAATTTTCTGTTGATAACTTGTTCTATGGCGATCCTGGTATGCTGCCTCTTGGCATAAGACAACACCACGCTTCATGAGCACAACTAACGTATCATTTTATTAAAACGCTCGGTTGGTGCCGTGATCGTGTTATCGCTTTGGACGCAGTTGAGGGTGAAAAGTCCCTTAAATTGCAGTTTAGCAACGAATGCGTATACCTCCAATTACAATGAAAAAATACACTTTAAGGACAAACACCGAACTAGAGAAAAATCACTGCGCGCCAAAGCTATGGACTACGCACTTGTAAACTGTAATCAGTACAACGACGGTATATTTGCATTCCGAATCAGAGAATATATAGAGATACATCATGTAAACGCATTTTGATATACGTACTGTTCCGTCGAGACTTGCCAAAACAGCGTTTTTGGAAGCGCTATCACTTGGGTATAGGCAAGGACCACGCTGATACACCAGCATCAACCAACATCCGAAATGTCGGCCTATAACCCACCCGGTCCGATGGCAGAAGTATGGCATAACTTCATGAACCAGACGACAATGGTGAGCTTGATGATGACTGCACCTGAGACTAACTAACTGGTTTATTGACAATACCTGCTCACTGAAATAACGAAATTTTCACCGAATCTCTCGTCTATCCGGGCAGCAATTTCAAAAAACAGCGGTTAAATGATCTTCGAAAAGATATGGCTCGGCTACTCAATCACATTAAATAAAAACGGTGGGAGAGTAACCAAGCCCCAGCTGCAAGGTTGCAGCGCAAACAATAATACGATTCTCTGAAGACCATCTATGGGCCGAGTAACACCGATCCAAACTCTCCAGGATGCTGGCAGGCGATTGGAGAAAGCATCACTTAGAGAAACATTGGATTCAGAGTGCAACAATTTTGATCAAAAGACGAGCAGACCGGCAAGCGTCGAGTGAACTGCAGACTGATTCAAGGAAAGATGGCACTTCTCCTGGTTCTTCTTCTGATCATTGGAGACAACACAGCTGATAAAACTGCGGAATGGCAAGACATCTGAAGAGAACATATTTGAAGTCATACTTGAGAGTATGGTCATCCGACTCTGGAGGACACACTTCTTCAACTGTTCAGTGGTGTCTGGCATGAAGATGAAACTCTATCAAAACTCAAGAATGTTCCTATCATGCCGATCCACAAAGAAAAGTCAACAGGACTTCATCTGACAACGATCAACGCACGAGCTTGCTAAGCTGCGCCGGCGAGTTCCTGTAAAGAGCTCTACTCAACGACTCTTTGCTTGGTCACTAAATGTCGTAGAGTGACCCCTCAGTGAAAAGTGAGCGGACGATTAACCTGATCAGATACCCTTAACTTTCCAAGGCTATCAGACAGCTAAGCCTGCGACGGGGCTAGAAGTTTTGGTGACCATCTTCATTCACAAGATACTTTAGCACATGGAGCGATCGGTGTGCTAAGGCCGCGATAACGCCGGCAGTAGCTTTCAGTGACCATCGCGTGGACGGGATCAGATCCATCTATGGATAACCACAGAACGCCACGGGGGTGTACTCTAGGTTCGGCATGTTAGTAATGCGTCCCCTAGTCCATCCGAAGCGGACACCAGTGGGTTCAACCACTAGGTTGTTTCCTACCTAATGCTCAGCGCACCCTTTGTTTTGATCTCTATTTGAAATCTATTTTGTATGCATTGCACCACACTGTACTCTGTTCACTTGTGACTTAGTGTATCCTACCGTGTTCCATGTTCAGTTCGTGTAACCTTGCGCAAACGACACTCCCAAGTACTCTGAACGTTTCGGCTGAGTCTCCGGAGTTATATGCGCCACCAGGTTCTTTCCATGCATTGTGAGATACTGTTTAGGTGGATGAACGTAGAGCCCAGCGCAAACCATATGTGGTATTACCAATTATACAAGGATGTCTATCGGCCTGGTTCAGGGTAATCGGACAACACGATAAAGGACATCGAACCACCATCTCAGCAGCAAAAGCCGTGCTTTTGGGTATTGGATGGCATGCGAACAAAATATACTCTTAACCTAATCAATCAGGTTTCTTTAGTCCTGGATACCTCTCTTTGGAGGCAGTCTATCTCTCTTGATGGAAGTAAATTTAAGACCCAGCCAACTCACTCGCTTCAAGGGGATAGCTATTTCGTGGAACAACACCGTGTTTATCAGAAACAAATACAACCGAATCCTAAAAGAACTTAATAGTACAATGTGAGGGCCAAAAATTAGCTCGCCATATTTTGAACCTAACGTGACTTTACCACATTTTGCCACCCTTATAAGGTGCGAATCACCGTACTAAAAGCTTACATGATTGCCAGTAGCCAACTACTGGTAGTTTGCCGGAGCTTGGTAGATAAATGTGCAAGTTATGGACAGCACTTGCTGGTCCACCGTGACTAACAAATGAGCCATAACTGACCTGATGATAATGCACCTCTGCCCTCTCCAGAAACCATCATCCACAACCACCATCATCATCACCATCGACAGCAACACGCCAAAAGCACATACCGGTACGTAGCTACCATACGTTATATATAAGCTAAAATACTGTCAGGTTGTCGAAAAAGGACAGAACAACTAGGGTTCTCAATCAAGTCTTTGACTCGAAAGTCCGACCACGATGCGGCCGGGACTGGTGAAAAACTATTGGAGTAGTCAGACAATCCAGCTAGACGATGTTCAAACATCAGTAGGTTGACCAGTTGTTCGGCGGTATATCTGACTCCACAAAAACTGATAATGTGATACAGGAGCGCCACTGTGGGATGACAAGGAAGTGTGTCGTTTGCTTCTTGCTTGATCGGTAAATCTCTTGTGAGAACACATACAAAAGGGCTATACATGCTCCATTAGGTGTTTTTATAGATCTTCTAACCAGTAACGTCGTTAGATAATTGATTTCCAACAGAAATATTAGTTGGTCTGGTAGAATCCAGTTGAAAAATGACGTCTTTATACATCATCCTTTGCAATAAGGACTTTTTTCCGCTTGACTACTCCCACGCCTATTGTAAGTGCCACTGAATTAGAAACGTAAGAACCCATTAAATAGGTAAAAATTCCACACTTTCGAATGCATATATGGCAGAATAGCTTCAACAATCATTTACCGGACCCCTTTTGCGACGTGACATACACCGTGCGTTTACGCTCCTCACAAGGCGCCATTTCACGGACATAGACATGTTATGTCCATTCGACAGTACTACTTACTCTTCTTGTGAGATTAACTCCAAGCCAAGACACCATCGTACTGTCGTAGAAAAAAGCTAAAGCCATACCGAAAGTGAGGTCGGACCAGCTTGACTCCGGTTGAGGGATGTTTAATAGAGCAGTAAGCTCGTAAACAATCTATAACTTACACGACTTATCCAAATATGTTTTTATTCCTTATTGTTTTTGGTGTCCAGCTGTACCTCAGTAACATTGCAGTGGGAATCAGTAGCTTGTTTCCGTCAGCTTATCTTGGAGTCTGAGGTCTAACTTCCGGGCTACCGAATGAGAAATGAAATGGACTCAAGTAGAGCGTAAAATACACCGTGCGTGTTACCAACATGCTCCTCACAAGGCACCATTTCACGGACATTGGCATGTTATTTCCATTCGGCAAAATGTGTAAGCGGTACTACTTCCTTTTTTTCAAACGAGTGGGTAAGACCATGAAATTCCGCCAGACGATTCGTTCCGACCTTATAGGAGCCTACGAATTGACTGTCACTTCGAATTGATGCCCAGTACATACATTGCTTCAAAAGGAGAGACTACTAGATACTGTTGCCACCAAACGTGGCTTCTTAGCGTCATGCTCAAATGCACAAGACACGTTAGAAACCCGAGGAAAAAGTTATAAATGGTAGACTAGATATCACTATCATAAACATTTTGTCGGTGCTCTATCTCATAAACCATTGAACAGCTCTTCATAACATCAAATGCACTTTGTCTATTATCCATCACCTCACTTGTCTAGAGTTAAATGTGTCCCACAGGGCACGTGTTGCGCACATGCACCTGAGTGATGATCCCAAGAATATTCATAAGCTGCATGAAAACTGCAGATAGAAAAACTACTGTGGCACACTTCTTGGGGTTCGTCAGGTGAGCCAATCCCCGGATATCCGTCAACCCTACTTCTTGCGTCAACAACCCACCGGACATACGTACCGGCAAGCAGTCACTTGCAGAGTAAGTGTGTTGAAGGGAACCTAGCCAGAAAGTCACCTGTATCCCTCATTTATAGTATCATTTATCTGAATATCTTGCGCACCTCATGTTTCAGTATCACGACTATTCCTGGGACGTCTTTTGAATGTTTTTCCTGACGTCTTGAATATTATTCCAAATGAAACAAGTCTGCAAATTCTGCTCGCGACTTAACAATGCATGCACACTTTCTGTCGAGGTATAGCCATGGCGCTTATGAAGCAGTTCAGATAAGGAAGCCAGTCAACAAACTCAAATTCATCTCTCTAAACGCTCATAGAGACACAGGGGGGTCGAAATCCCGAAGTACTACTTTGCACTTTCAAGGAGCGAAAAACACCGAAATTAGGGATCAAATGTGGAATACGATATGGAGTAATCTACACGGACCGACGGCCGCCGAATAAAAAGACGTTATCCACATAATCCAGGTTTAGTTGCGATACCAAGAACCCCGATCTCCTGAAGTGCGCGCAAATCCTTGGATTAGAAGTATGGGAATATTAGCAAGAAGCGCAACAACAGCATCCCTGTTCGACCAAGTGTACGCAAAAGAACTTAATCGCTGAGTCAAATGCGAATTGGCAAGTGCGATTCAGGCTCTCGGGATTCCTGCGCTGTCTTCGCCAGACCCAATTCTGCCAAAGCTAATGCAACTATCCAGGTGTAAAACCTTCTACAACCTCTAGAGTTTCTTGAATTGCAACTAGCGCGTTCAGAGATTGTACATTCTGAAGCACTTTGCGGGTGCAATACACATATCAGAAGATAGCATTATGGTTGTTAGTTTATTCAACAGTGCCTATGCTCCGTTTTCACTTCGTGTTCTGCATATGTCAGATCGAGGACCTTCTAACAAGCAACCATATGAAAAGAAGGGCTCTGAAAAACCTCTAACGTTCATTACATCAGTGCACCGATGACGAAACTAAACAAAAATAGAAGCGGGTATAGTTGCCAGGCGCCAGTCCCCAGAAATTTGTAATCAGAAGGACCGGATTTTGCTCACGAACATCTGTGGCATTCCCCGTACAAGCACCGACTAACCGACAGAATCGACGCGCCTTTGGAACACCAAGATAGTGTGGGTCATCTGTACATATAGTGTCGCCCAAACATGTGACGGGGTATGAAAATGCAATCAATGCAGTCTCCATCCGGTCCAAATCCAGCTTGATATGGATGAAGATTTAGCACTCCGCCGTAAGACGGCAAAGAACCAGTGACGCCAGAAACCTTGACACGACAGAGGTACAGAAGACGTCTTTGTGATAACTACATTAACCGCGACTATCCATTTAAAAAATGGACGTTGTTGTCGAACGAGCCCGGTTGTCCCGGATCGTTTCTTTCTCCCTAACAGATGTTGACTGATGTATTCACCATCGTCTTTGAACACAGTAAGTAGAAGATTGTGCGGTCACGAGTATGGTGACGCTTGTGTAGGTATACATTTAATGGCACATCTTAGGTTGAAGGCTCAACCTTCATAGGCTCGGATATGATATTGCAGGTGGCCGAATGAAGTGTTGTCTGAGTATCCTATCCAAGGATCGAAATGTTCTTCCTATAACGGATATCAGATGCCTATTGCAATGGCATTAATGGCAGAAAGCTTCAGGAGATCTAGTGAACGAGTCAAATAGAAAAACCTGCGAACATGTCCATAATTTTACGCTTGTGCCATTTCTTCGGCCTTCTGAATCCACCAGAGTTCCCGGCCTGTGCGAACACTCGGTTTTGCCGATGAACCCCAGGAAGGACGAAACGAGTGTTGGACTATCCTGAGTTTTCACAAACCTTATGAGCAGTGTTGAAACATAATTGGATGTCTTGAATATCGTCCACGCTGAGACGAGGCCACTTTCATGCAGCACATTGAGAGGAATAAAACTATGGACGACAAGTTAGGGTGAATTTCAGGTGAGTCGCCCCTGAAAACAAATCAACTGCAGATAAGCGTTCATCGCAACATAAGGGCTGATTTTCTGCAAAACTGGTGGGGTATGTGCTGACCTACGTTAACAGGAGGCTACATCTGGGCGAAAAAGTTCTTAAAACACTGCACAAAAACTGCACGATACAAATACCTCCAAAGTTGAGGAATACCTGTAAACTGAAAGTCCCGGAACATATGAAGTGATCCAAATCTAGGGAGACAGCGAAGATGGCAGCCCACATCGAGGACTCAACCAAAAAGCACCAGTTTCCATGCTCAGTAGGGCTCAAAGAGATCGCACAAAAGAGCCAAAATATCACACCCAAACAACCATGGGTGATCGTTTCGAGGGTCAAGCGTGCTGAATATGTGCTCTTAGAACCAACTTTGTGACACCTGTATCGAAAGTGGCGTAAGTTTAACAACCAGCAGCAACGTACAAGACCTCCAAGAATAGGTAGAAGAAGGAACCACCGAGTACCACAACTATTTCCCAAGGTCGAAATCCAAAAACCCGAAACGGCATAAAGCAATGTGCTAAAAGAGAAAATGCAAAGAAGTTTGTGATTGGACTTTATACAACGTTGTATTCATCATTTCGTCATCACAATCACCCACAAAGTCTGCTGCCCTCGTCATCATTTTCCCTTTCAAAACCCGCAAGCTCCTGTTCAGCTGCGTCAAAAATTCGATTGGGCGGGTCTACTTCCTCATCGTATTGCAAACAATGGTCTATCTGTTGCAAGATGTCTGATATAGTCTCCTCGTTATCACGATTTAAGGGCATGAAATGTACCACGCTGTAACGCTCGATTAAACCTGCGAGCGCTGAGTTCAGTTTCGTATACTTCGTTTGCAGCCCCACAGCCGAATGATCATCTGCATCGCAATCCAGGAAGTAATTCATATCCGGACTGAGGTACCGCGCGATCACGTATTTCTGTTTCCTCAAAGGTAATAAGTCCATCTTGGACATGATGTTTATATGCGCTGTCGCCAAGGCGACCATGGAAGACAGAGCAGCCAAAACGCCGGCCATAAAGTGAGAGGAGTCTACAAGAAATCTAGCGTCCAGCACAAACACAGTAACGAATCGAAAATCCCATTTCCTCTGCAAATGTTCAACAATCCGGGGCATAATTGGCAGGTGTGAAAATAGTTCAACTTGCCCAGGACAGTCGAAAAGAACGTAATCATTCTCACAATCGCCCAATGCAGTGTCTAGCCAATCCAAGTTTTGACTGAGGTATTCCATGCAGAATATAAGTCCTCCATTGGGTCCAAGGTGAATATCACTGTCCTGCATCACATCATCGACCTAGACAGTATTAAACCGAGAACTCAACCTTACATGAATAAGATCACGAATGTCTGCGATTGGGTTGTACTCAAAGTATTCGGCTGCGGGGTCAAGATTGACGACATCAACTGTTCTGTGAAGTGTTTCACAGTGAGCTTGTAAGGTTGCACAATAAGTGGACTTTCCGCACCCAGCAGGACCAATGACTAGCTGGGCGAACCGGGGCATTTTGTTTTTGCTCAGCACTATAAGTAAAAGAAAGCACTTTTATTTGACGAGTAGAAGGCAACCGATACAAAGACACAAATGATATGGTATTTTCAACACGTAAATGAGGAGTACGGAGATCGATCAATCAATTTATCAGCTTTGTACCATGTATCAAGGTCACATTGGTTCCAGATGCTACAGTTTCGAGAGTGTGGGAGATACGGCCAAGCATTGAAGGCGATTTTACACCTGGTTAGTTCGAGAACTGGGTAGCTACACATTGACGGCGATGGCTTAAACGCACCAGCGGCACTGACTGCACAGTTGGGCCATTTCTGCCAGTCATTGACCATTGGTGAGTTGCGTTCCGGGGCCCCCATTCAGGAAGGCGGCAGTTGTCGACCAAAGTTTAGTGGTTAGTGTTTTCATACTTTTTTGCCAGGTCATACATTATCCACCTCTCGATCCCTTCCATTCAGCACACAGCTGGGCGAAAAGAGTTCTGCGAGGCAGACGGTTTTCTGGCATGCGCATTACATATCCTAACGAGCGCAACCTGTTCAACGTGAGTAATTCATTTATCGCGAGAGAGTTCCTTCTTCCTGAGACTGAGGTACCTCAGCATTACAAATCCGATGTTCCACCAGACCTGGTATTGCTACGGAGACACTGACGGTCGAAAAATGACACGTTTCGTATGTCCTCTGTGCGCAGAGACCTTGTTTCTCAGCCACAAAGCAGTATGCTCCGCACCGCCGCAGTTTTAACTCTATCCTTGACAGATAAAATGTCACCACGGCACCAAAGGTGTCTGGTCGACGCATTCCCGGTCAGGAAGAAAGGCAGCTGGATTCTCTCGAAGCTGTCTTTCCTGATAATCCATCAACCTGTGCAAAATAATGCCAGATGCGACGGATACCAGGCTGACACCACGATGTTTTTCACATGACGTTTTTGCCCCCTTTTTGAAAACGGATGACGATCGAGGAGCTCCACTCGACTGGCATTCTGTTTACGTTCCAAATCTTCTGCAATATAGTTGTCAGACTGTTCCACAAGACCTCGCCACCTTCTATGAAGAGTGCGAGGTGCAGACCATCTGTACCAGGTGCTTTGTCGCGCGATGGCTCAGTTTTTAGAGCGCATATTTACTGGCCGGAAAATCCGTGCTTCGAATCCAACCTCAGCTTTAGTGCAACAAGCAACCGCACATGATTGGAAAAGCTACAGCAGCCTCGCGCTATTTAACGGGCACCTTCTGACATTGATCCAGGCTGCCTGATGGGCGTTTAGTGAACGCCTATCGACATCGACCGTACTTCAATCAAATGCCCGAACACTGATCATAGTCGGTCGTGCTTCTCTGCCGTTACGAAGAGACTGTAACTTATCGTGCTGTGGCGGTTTGTGTACCTTGGCGACCCACTGAGCTATAGTGGGGGGTGTCTGCGTGACACTCAGAGTTTACCAGAGTGCTCCATGGGTAAAGGTCTGACGAACACAGTCTCCTGTCTCTCCAGGTTTGGGATTGGAACATGTGTGGCGATGCGTTCCGCAAAAATGGTAACCTATTTGCATTTCCAGCCCAACACCGCTGCCTTGTGGTTAGGCTTTAGTTGAGAACCCTAATCGTCCTCCTGTCTAAGTGTAGGCGCCCTAACCGTATTCCAGCCCCCGTACAGCCATGATATTTACAGATAACAATACCCTCATGTCACATCGGCCGTCGCGTGGTGCCATCAGCCGAGTCGCATTACTTGCTGCATACAGCAGGCCGAGTAAGCAAAAACATGGTAGAGCCTCAATTCTTACACTTTCACGTTTTCTTTCTCTCACCCTCCCCCACCCAAATGCGAATACTTTCTCCGCAGGTCCCAGCTCTAGGAGTGATCATTTTGTTCGCCATGCATCTCACTCAGCTGCAGCTTCTCTACGTTCGACTTCAGTCACAACCCTAAATACTAAGAGGTCTATTTTCAAACCACGAAATCATCATCATTTCACCAGTCAGCTGTAAGAACCGCGTACTTTTCGTACAGTGGTTGCAGCTGCCACAGTTCCGTTCACCGATTATTTGGGGAGGTGAGGTAGGCAGCAGCGCGTTGAACACGGGAGCTGAATAATTGGTGCGTGAATACAGACTGTCAGTGGATTGTTAAGAAGGGGAATTGGTAATGGAGCTTTGCAACCGACGTATTTCCGCATGGCAGACTTGGTCAACGCTCCGAAGACACTGACGGTCAAAAACGGGATGTCTTCTGATGTCCTCGGCAGGCAGTGGCTCGGTTTCTGATCCGTATAGAAATATGGAGCGCACCGCAGAATTGTAAACTCGACCCTTGACGGACAAACTGATGTTACGCCTAAGCCACAGGTGAGCAAGTTCATAAAAGCTGCTCTGGTTCACTGAACCACCAACCCACCGCTACGCACTACTACGCTCCACAATGACGCACTGATGATGTCACCTCGATTGGTGATGAAACGTTTGCAATCAAATTGCCCAGCTCAGCGAACAAGCCAACGACCACTTGTTATATATTTGCTCTGTTTTTCAAACGTTTCATCATTTGTTGCTAAATCACTTTCTTCCGTTTCCAGCTCTCAGTGTCAACGTTTTGGATGAATAAAGCCTAGCTTTCGGGCCCTCAGTCTTTTCCATTGTCATTCTGATTGTCGTTGCACTCCGACCCTCGTCGCACACAACAATTTATTCATCCAAAAGTTTTCGAACAATGGATCGATTCTTACGTCCTGAACGATTCGATACCGACCCCAATAATCAAGACTCGGCAGTTACCTGGGAGCATTGGTTTTGTACTTTCACAAACTTCCTAGAGTCAATCGGTTCTCATTCAATTACGTCTCCCCTAGTGTTTACCGATTCATCAAAGACTGCAAAGACTATGAATCAGCCATCGAAACCTTGCGAGAAATTTACGTACAGCCGAAAAATGAAGTTTTTGC